TGTAGGTAAATGTTTTGATGACTTGCAAAGCTTTCCATTTATATTTTTCTGGTTTTTTTTTAATACCAGGTTGTTGAGGCATCATATATACTTATTAAACCCAACCTTTGTAACATATTCTAGAAGTTTCAAAGAATTCATCCTACTCCTGTTCTCTCTGACTACACTTCCTACAGGACATCCTGATCCAGACTCAGCCTGCCATGCTAATGCCAAAGTTTAGCTCTTACAGAATGGAAAAGGCAGGAAACCTATTAAGCTAAGGCGCTTATTCTAATTTCTGTATATATTCCCCAGGGCATAGCAGGTAAAGCTACCATCCCAAATAGGCACTAGTCCAAGTTCTGGCTGCTCCACTTCCTATACAGTTCTCTCTTTATGGCCTAGGAAGGCAGCAGAGGATGGCTCAAGTCCTTGGGCCCTTGTACTGCCATAGGAGACCTGGAAGAAGCTCCAGGCTCCTGGCTTTGGACTTGTCCAGCTCCAACCATTGAAGCCATTTGGGGAGTAAACCAGTGGATGAAAAATATATCTCTCTCTAATGCTTTCAAGTAAATAAATAAATCTTTTAAAAAGTTTTCCTTAGACTTGAATGCATCTATATTTTTATTGGTTACCCCCAAAATCTTTTAAAGCCTGAGAGAGCTTGTTACAGGAGGATCCTGCTGGGGTGCCGGGCACCCTGCAGGCAGGCGGGTCTGGGGTGTAAGTATGTCTGGAAGTTGGGGGTCTGCAGTTGGACTGAGGCAGGACCAAAGCTCCCTGTGCTCCCCAGTTTGCAGGCCACCACCCAGAGCATCCCTGAAGGTGGCTCAGGAACTCCATCGGAATGGAAAGGGCCAACGAGTTCTAGTCCTACCATCCGCTGCTTCACCTGGAGCCCTTGGGATCTCATCCGGTCTTCTGTTTTGCATTTAAATTTTTATTTGAAGGAAGGGTTTGGCAGCTAAAAATAACAGCCTGCAAAACAACTTCCACGGGAACCATTTAAGGATTTTAAGCAGGGAAGTGACATAATTAGGTTTTTGTTGCAAAAGGTTGCTTTGGCATCTGGACACATTGTGGAAGCTGGATTGGAGGAAGGTGAGAGCCGAGAGCCTGAGACTTGAAACAGACCGAGGTGGCGGTCACAGGGCTCACAGGGACTGGCAACTCGGGTCGCCATCTGGGCATCGCAGCACCCGCCGGGGTAGGAGGGGGTCTTCCTGGTTTGCCAATTCTCACCTCACTGCTCGTCCTGTCTGCATTTCCTGCTTGGCCCACAAGGGCCCTGGCCTTTGTGACCCTTGCCATGGAATACGTGGCGTGCAGTCCCAGTTTGCGTCCGAGTCCTACTGTGTTCCTTTAAAGAACCTTAGGTTTCTGCAGGATACCTGTTGTCCTACCCTTTCTTTCCCTCGTTCTCTTTCACATGCTCTCTCTCCCTCCTTGTTTAAAGAAATATTTATGTATTTGAAAGGCAGAGTGAGAGAGACAGGAAGAGACAGAGAGATCTTGTAGCCACTGGTTTACACCTAGTTGTCTGTGACGGCTAGAACTGGCTCGGGCCGAAGCCAGGAGCTGGAAGCTTCTTCTGGGCTCTTGCACATGGCTGTAGGGGCCCGAGCACATGGGCCATCCTGTGCTACTCTCCCAGGCGCTTGAGCAGGGAGCTGGAGCAGAAGTGGAGCAGAACCAGGACTCAAACCAGCACCCATATGGGATTCTAGTGTGCAGCCAGCAGCTTACCCTACAGCACCACAGTGCCGGCCCCACCCTTGTGTTTCTCCCAGCTCCTCTTCGACCCTCCTGCTCTCAGCTGGCCAGCCGAGCCATCCTGTCCTGCCACAGCTTAGCACCTCATTCTGTTTGTCGTGGTGGTGAGCACAGGCCCACAGCAGGGCAGTAGCCCCTCTTTCAGCCTTCGATTCCTCTAGAAAATTCTAAGCAGGGTTAAAGATAAGAACAGTGTGGAGTCCACTTCGTTGGAGAATGTTGGATTGGTCGTGTTTGCTCGACTCTTTTACGAGTGAGATGTTTGTAAGAGGAATGGGAATGACAAGATGCGGGAACACCTTTCCCTTCTGCCTCTGGCTTTTTTTCCCCCTCAGTGAACAATTTTGTGAAGGAACTAGATTTTTTTAATGTGAGAACGTAACAGGGCACCTTACACAGGAGACTCTTTGCTCCCAGGGGTGGTGAGGGACTCCCGGGGCTCAGCTGGTTTTAGGAACACGGGTAAGAGAGGTGTGCATCTCGCGAGGGGTGGGAGAGAAAATGGGACCAGGCCTGGATGGAGGGCACAGGTGAAATATTTTTACTGAAAAGGCAGATTTACAGTGAAGAGAGACACAAAGAGAAAGATCTTCCATCTGCTGTTTCACTTCCCAAGTGGCTCTCTCACAGAGCTGTGGTTGGTGACTTGAAAAGCAGTCATTGGGCTGATGGAGTCTAAAGTTGGGCAATCACATCTTTTTCAGCTTGTCCCACCACCCCCTGGGCTGTGACAGCTTTCCATTCCTTGCTCAGATAGGCCCAAAATATTAAAAAAAAAAAAAGATTTATTTATTTGTTTTTATTGGAGAATCAGACATACAGAGAAGAGGAGATGGGGGGAAGATCTTCTGTCCAATGATTCACTCCCCAAATAGCTGGAGCTGTGCCGATCGGGAGCCAGGAGCCAGGAACTTCCTCCAGGTCTCCATGTGCGTGCAGGGTCCCAAAGCTTTGGGCTGTCCTCGACTGCTTTCCCAGGCCACAAACAGGTAGCTGGATGGGAAGTGGAGTTACCGGGATTAGAATCAGAGCCCATATGGGATCCTGGTGTATTCAAGACGAGGACTTTAGCCACTAGGCCATCACGCCTGGTCCCAAACTATCTTTTTCCTAACAACTTAGGGGAGCCTGGAACCAGAATTCTGAAAGGAGCTGTCCTAAGGCTTGGCTTTCCACTGGGCTCCAGGCCAGAGACATGGCCACCGGGGATAGAGAGGAATGTGCCTTTGGCCTCTGCACCCCGGCGAGATTTCAAATGTGTGCCCTCAAAGGCTCACGGTGGGTTCTTCGGCTGTCATTGTATTCCTGCTTTTTAGCTCGTGCCAGGCAGTCACTTGGAATAAACAGACCCAGTGCCCAAGAATAAAGGCACCCTCCTGCACTTCCCCGCCAGCACCACCAGGGGCCGCCTTCACCTCAGAGAAACGGGGCCGGCGCCCGCGCGGCGCAGCCCGTCGCCTGCCTCCCTCGGCTCCCCGAGCCCTTCGCGTTTTTGGCACTTGAAAAACCGGGTGGAAGCGGGGGAGAGGAGCGGTGGCTCCCAGATACGGGCCGGGCAACGCTGCTGCGTGCGTGTCCTTGATGACAGCTCGAGAAAGCTCACGCCTAGGACCCTCAGCCGCCCCTCACAAGTCAGCTGTAGATCCACACCCCAAGACTTGGATTATCTGGGGCGGGGTGGGGCTGGAGCTAGGGTCCCGGTGAGCCAGAGGTGGGGTGTCAGGAGTTTCCATCGCTGTCGGGGAGCGGGGAAGGTTCCGCATCGTCACTCCTCCGCTTTCCTGTCACACTAGCCTAGTCGTGTCTGTGGCAGACAAAAGAGCCACCAAGGCCCCCGAGCAGATGGCGCGCCGGGGGGAGCCGAGTGGGCCTTGGGGGCACGCGCGCAGGCCACCGGGGGCAGCGGGGAGGGCTGGACGCCTCGCGTGGGGGAGAGCCACGGACGTCACGGGGCTCCCCAGGAGTGTGTGTGGGTGCAGGGGTCGTGGGCCACCCCCACCCCGGGGCGCTGAGAGGGGGGCACACCGCCCCGAGGAGCACGCCGGGTCCCCTGCCACCAGGAGGGTGGCACGGCTTACTGGGGAGAGGGGGTGTTAGTGGCCAGTATACCGAAAAGAATTCGGGGTGTGCATGTGGGGGATGGTGAGGGGTATCCTGCTAGCTTTCTGTAGACAAGTGCGTGTGAGGGACCCGGGGAGCTAGAGCCCAGCTCGGTGTGTGTTTTGGGGGGGCGTGGAGAGGACAGGCCCTGGGCGTCGCTGGAATGTGCCAGATGGAAAGGGGCTTCCCCGGAGGCCCCGGCAGGGAGGGGACGCCCAGGGTCCGAGGGCCTCGCCGGCCTGCCAGGCCCGGGCCTGGAGCCCCCCGGGCGCGCACCCGGCGGCCGGTTCAAGTCGGAGGTCCCCGGGCGGCCGGGCGGGGGGCGGGGGGAGACGGCGGGCGCCGGAGGGTGGGGCCGGGTGGGAGGAGGAGAGGCGGGGCGGGGGCGGGCGGCCTGCCCGGGGAGTCACACTCGGCCGCCGCCGCGGGCGCAGCGAGCTCGGAGACGGCCCGGGCCGAGGCGACCTGACCCGGACGAGCGGCGCGCGCGGGGGGCCCGGGCGGGGGGCGGGAGGCGGCGGCGGGCAGGCGGGCAGGCCGGCCGCCGGTCCCCAGGAGCAGCGCGGAGCCCGGCGGCGGAGCGGGGGGACACGGGCGCGGCCGCCGGCGCTCCGGAGGGGCCCGTTAGTGGCAGCAGGAGCTTCGGGAGAAAAGCCTTCTCGGGAGTCTCGCCCCTGCCTTTCCCTCCTCCCCTCCGGCCCAGGCCTAGCTTCGCTCCCTTGCCGGCCCATGGCCCAGACCTTACGCGCCGCGGACGTCCTCCCACCTTGTCTCCCCTTGGTTCTTGTTTTTCGCTGCTTGCTGGCCTCCCAGCGCTTTCGGGAGCCGTGAGGTCCTCCTCCCCCCCCAAGGCCGCTTCCTGGGACCAGTCTTCCCTCCACCCCACCTCCACCGCCAGCCCCATCCTGGCCTCAGAACCTCCCCCGCCCTTTCCTCCTGAGCCACTTCCCTGTCGTCCCCATCCCGGTCGCAGACTCCCTGGATCGCCCCCCTTCTCCAGCTACGCTCCACTCTCCCTGGGGGCTCAGTCCTGGCCCTAGGCTGGCGGTTCAACCCGGGCTGGGGGGCGTCCTCCCCTCCTCTACTCCTGCGGGGTTCCCGTTGTTATTTTCCGTGCCCTCCCAGCCTGCTTGTCCTATCCCCACTTCTCTCCCTGGCCCTCTCCCCCAGGCTCTGGCCTGGGTGCCTCCCGGCTAGACCAGAGCGGCCCCAGAACCTGGGGCTGGTGGTGGGGCTGCTGCTTTATCCCCATGGCACTGCCATCACTGCTGCTGTTGGTGGCAGGCCTGGCAGGTGGCGTGCGCCCGCCAGCGGCGCGGAACCTGACACTGGCGGTAGTGTTGCCCGAACACAACCTGAACTACGCCTGGGCCTGGCCACGGGTGGGTCCTGCCGTGGCCCTGGCTGTGGAGGCACTGGGCCGGGCACTGCCCGTGGACCTGCGCTTTGTCAGCTCAGAACTGAATGGTGCCTGCTCCGAGTACCTGGCCCCACTACGTGCCGTGGACCTCAAGCTGTACCATGACCCTGACCTTCTCTTGGGCCCGGGTTGCGTGTACCCAGCCGCAACTGTGGCCCGCTTTGCTTCTCATTGGCGCCTGCCCCTGTTGACGGCTGGTGCTGTGGCCTCTGGCTTTGCTGCTAAGAATGAGTATTACCGCACCCTGGTTCGCACTGGCCCTTCAGCACCCAAGCTGGGTGAGTTCGTAGTGACGTTGCATGGGCACTTCAACTGGACGGCCCGCGCTGCCTTGCTGTATCTGGATGCGCGCATGGACGATCGGCCTCACTACTTCACCACGGAGGGTGTCTTCGAGGCCCTGCAGGGCAGCAACCTGAGCGTGCAGTACTATGTGTACGCCCGGGAGCCAGGAGGTCCGGAACAGGCCACCCACTTCATCCGGGCCAATGGGCGCAGTGAGTGTGGCCCCGGGCAGGGGAACTAACTTGTGGAGGTGGGGTGGTGGAGGGAGATGGGCAATGAGGAGCTGGCATGGTGGTTGGGAACAAAGGCAGATGCTGACAGAGCACCTGTGTGTGATAGTGCCATGTGTTTTGCGGGTACTATTGGCAGATGTAAACAAGGCATGAAAGAGTGGGGTGGGGTGCAGCTTGGACCAGGGAGAAGTTAGGGCTGGGGGCAGCATATGGGGTTGGGGAGCAAGAAGGGGTACCCTGGGGCAGCTCAGTTTACTCAGCAAGGCTCACCCATCTGGCAAGCAGAGGACTCCCAGACTGTAGCACTGGGACATCTTGGTGGCCCCAGAAAAAATACATAGAATAAGCGTGGCTTGGGGCTCGGCAGATTCAATTGGGAAAGAACAGGCTAAGTTTGCACCAAGACACTCGCAGCAGCCAGTGCCTCTGAGCCCAGGGAGGAGGCAGGAAGTGGGGAGGCCACCAAGTGAGGGGGCAGCAGCAGGCAAAGCCTCCGGGAAAAGGAGGGACTGGAGAGTGGCTGCTCCATTCTGGAGTGTGAAGTCAGGCTGTCTTCTGCCATATGGTGCAGATGGCCCCAGGGCCTTGAGGACCTACAGTGGCTCCTGGGGAAGGGATGGGGAACATCTGCTGGAGGGCAGTGGTAGTGAATAGGCTGAGGTGCCTTTGCCCTGACTCAGGGAGGGTGGGGTGGCAGATGCTTGCTCAGCTGCCCTTCTGCCTGCCCCCAGTTGTGTATATCTGTGGGCCTCTGGAGATGCTGCACGAGATCCTGCTGCAGGCCCAGAGGGAGAACCTGACCAGCGGCGACTACGTCTTCTTCTACCTGGACGTCTTTGGGGAGAGTCTGCGTGCAGGGCCCACCCGCTCTGCCGGCCGGCCCTGGCAGGACAATCGCACCCAGGAGCAGGCCCAGGCCCTGCGTGAGGCCTTCCAGGTATCACCGCAACCACATCTGACCATGGGACCGGCATCAGGGCAGGCAGGGTGCTTGGCCAGAGCTTCTTGGTCTTACCGGACCCCCCGCCTAGGAACCCTAAGGGCAGAGTAGCAGCTGTGGGCCACAGAAGCATATCTGAATCTAGTCTCCCTCTGGGACTCTGTGCTTTGCTGCTTGAGACTGACTTAGGCCACCTGCAGAGGTTTCAGATGCTGGCTTTGCTAAATGCCAGCCAGCAGGAGCCTGGGCTGGGGGCCCAGGACAGGACCTTGAGCCGACTCCCCTGGCAGTGCCCCCACCCATTTGGAGAGATAAGGTGTCACGTGGTACAGTTAGGAAGAACATGTGCAGGGGCAGGACCAAGTGACTGGACCTGGAACAGGGTGGCTGGACCAAAAGGTTCAGAGTGGGAAGGGTTGTCGCTGGGGTGTGAGTTTGGGAAGCCCTTTTGGACTGAAAGTTGACATCCGACGGTGACTAAGATGCCCCTGGAATGGGTGGGGGCATCCAAGCTGCCAAAAGGAAGAGTTGGCTCTCATTAGATGCACAGGATACCATGGGGCTGATGGGATAAGGAAAGCTCTGGAACTTGCATCTGGGGTCTTCATAGCATTTGTCCCGTTGTTAGGGTTGATCTAGTGACAGAAGTCAGGTAGGGTGAGAAGGGAAGACGAAAGTCAGCGAGTCCACCTGCGAGAGTTTAGAGACGTGTGAGGCAGTGTGCAGCCAGAGCTGGGGTGTTGAGAAAGTAGGGGTAGAAGAGCGGGGTTCCAGAAAGAATGTGGAGGGACGCCTGGCATGACGGTGCTCCCTGCACTCCTCTGCTCCCAGTTGCAGTGACTTGTTCCCTGCTGGATGGCGTGCTGAACCCTCATGGCGGTTAAGGTGCTCCGTGCTTTGTACTCGGCCCTACCCGCGATTGTAGTCTTGACTCACTGGGCACTCCTGCAGAGCCCCCCACTGGCAGGCCCCTGATCCTCAGGCCTCTGTGCTCTGTTCATTTTGTCTGTGCTGCTCTCCTCTCCTCGCCCCAAAGCTCTGCCTTACACACAATCCCAGGAATGGTTCCCAACTCCCCTGCTGATTTCCCATTGATTTAAATATGGAAGTATTTGCTGTTTATCCATGCAAGCCTTTCCAAAGATGATTTGAAGAAGTAATGAAATAGCCTTAAGCTCCTTTTCATCCTAAGTTAGCTTGTTTCTTTTTTTTTTCTGTATTTATTTTATTTATTTGAAAGGTGTAGTTAGAGAGTATCTTCCATCTGCTGGTTCACTCCCAAATGGCTGTAGTGACCAGGGCTGGGCCAGACTGGAGCCAGGAGCTTCTAGGTTTCTCCTGTGGGTGCAGGGGCCCAAACACTTGGGCCATCCTCTGCTGCTTTCCCAGGCTATTAGCAGAGGGCTGAGTCAAGAGTGGAGTAGCTGGGACTTGAACATGTGCCAGTATGGGATGCTGATGTCACAGGTGCCACAATGCCAGCACTATAATGAGTTTTTGCGGTTGTATGTGAGGGCTGGACCCAGGTAGTCCTTGCCCTGGAGTAAGTAAGGTTTTCTGTGGCTGTGATTATGCATTTGGTTGGGGCTGACAAGTGAGTCCTCCCAAATGACATTATCTGTTGGCATGCCTGAATGGGAGTCTGTGATGGTCACACTTGAATGGAGACAGTAGCAGGGACAGTAGCCTTCTTACCTTTGTCTGGGTAATGGTGCCATGTTCTTGAAGAGTAATGGTGCCCTTATTATCCCTTTTGGGGGACAGTCACTCCCTGGGCTTGCCAGGGTGCCCTGTGCATCAGTATGCCCACTGTGGAACTAAGCCTATTTCTCAGTGTATGTTTGCATGTCTGAAAGCTGACCCATCCCATTGGTGTTTGCTAAGCACCTGAGAGGTCACCACTGCTGTGCCAGGTGCTGGTGGGCAGGGAGAACAGATGAAGTCCATGCTTTTGGAAGATTATGTTTGGCAGGATAGACAGAAAGTAGATAAATACACAGCAAATACTGTTACAGGAATATATTGTGATGTGTTATTGAAAGACGAAGAAGAGAGTTGTGTGAGAAGAGCATAGCCAAGGGGTTATGCCTTGCCTGGCATGGTCAAGGGTGGGCTGTGGTTCTTCCTGATGTAGGGCTCCAGAACCTTCTTGTGTGAGAATTCTTGTTTGCCAAGGGACCCCAGTGCTTAGCGTAGGGGGAGGATTCAGTTATCTGTTAATTCTCAGCTCCCCATCTTGCTTTTGGCATGACTTGAACAGAACAAGGAAGAGGGGGACTTTGTTACAGCACAAGAGGAAGGCACTGGGAAGTGAAGACCATGTCGAGAGGCAGACCAGGGCGTCGGATGGAAAGAGGAGGGAAGCGGCAGCAGACTGCTTATCCTTCCCCAGCGTGGAGGCAGGGCAGCTGTGGAGGGAAGCTGGGAGGCCAACACCAGTCAAGGGTGGCAAGAGCCCTTCCCCAAAAGACATTGTCCTGCAGTCTCAGACCAGGCTGGCCTGGGAAAGGGGGCCAGGGACCTGTGGCTCCTGGGACAAAGAGCCATGTCCGAGTTGCATAGCAGCTCCCAGAGGAGAAGGCTCTGCAATGAAGGGTGTTGATGCGCTTTCCCTCTTCCGTTCAGTCATAACCACAAACAGGTATTTGTGAAGATTTATTTATGTATTTATTTGAAAAAGCAGAGTACACAGAGGAACTGGGCGGGTCGAAGAAGGAGCCTAGCATCGGCCCCAATAGGTATATATAGATGCCAGTGAAGGTGTGTGATGGGAAGAGGGAGTGTGGGTCTAGGAATTAACCTAGCTAATAATAGTGTTGGCAGATACTGGACACCAAGGTCATCAAGGAAGGTAGGGGAGAAGAGCAGACACAGTGCAAGGGCCGACATCAGTGGCTGGGCCCTGGGGCCTCAGAGGATGACTGGCAGAACTCATTATGCAGGGACCAGGAGGAGAGCACCTCACCAGCAACAGTGGAGGGTGGGGGAGGCACGATCTCTTCATGCCGAACATCCCTTATCTCTCTGGGCCATCATTGGCAGCACCTGCCACTGTGACCCAAGCAGGTCTTAGAGTGGGAGGTGCACATGTGTCCCCTGCCAGTACACCTTGCCAAATGCAGGCCTGGCTTTTGCCCATTGCCAAGACCAGCATTGACAGCCCTTGCTCGTTGGCTGTCCATCTGGGGTGCACAGCTGCCTAGCTTCTCCTTCTTCTAGCTCCTCAGTAAAACCATTGGGTTTTGTTTCTATGTTTGTTTTGGTTTGGTTTGGTTTAGATTTTATTAAGTAGCTAGGAGCCCCAACAAAACAGTGTGGCCTAACATTTCAAAGCATGGTCTTGGGATTCTGGGGGCTGCTGAGATCCTTTAGGGAGTCCTATAAGGTAAAACCTGGAAAATAATACTACATCATTCTTTGCCTGTGTCATTCATTCTTCTGTGATTGTACAGTGGAGTTTACAAGAGGTTACATGTCGTGGGATAATGTCATCTCTGACAGCCATGCTGTTATCACTTTGACAAATACGGATGGCTCCTGTGCTACTTTTTTAAAAAGATGTATTTGTTTATTTGGAAAGCAGAGTTACAGAGAGCAAGAGAGAGAGAGAGAGAGAGAGAGATATTCCATCCATTGACCTTACCCCACATGGCTGCAGTGGCCAGAGCTGGGCCCAAGTCAAACTGGACCCCAGGAGCTTCATCCAGGTCTCCCATTGGGTGAGCACTTGGACCATGTTTCACCAGTGCCTTAACAGGGAACTGGATTGCAAGTGGAATAGCTGGGATGGGTACTGCTGGTGCTCATATGGGATGCCAGCTTTGCGAGAGGTGGTTTAACCTCCTGCACTACAATGCTAGTCCCTTGTATGTGCTTGTGTCTTTATGATTTATGAGTTTTAATTTATAGATGAACTCCACATATACAAAAGGGTTTTTGGGGTCCTCAGTATAGTAAGAGTGCCAGGCAATCCTGAGACCAGCTGGTTGAGAGCTGCTAGCCGAGCAAACCAAATAGCCAGAGTTATTAAGTGTTAAAAAGGTATAAAATGCCCTTACCATCAGCCTTAAATGGATTATAAATTGTACTAAACTTGATCTTTTCTATTACTTTTGCTGACTTTAAATGTTGGTCAGCAGTGCCCTGTTTCTCATTCTTCTTATATTCTGGAACAAATGTTGCCTAAGGAACCCTTCCTTCTGAGGCTTGATCCACTTCTCTCTAAGATGTACTGAATTATGCTTGAAAGGCAGAGATACAGGGGCAAAGAGAGACAGAGGCATCTCCCATTTGCTAGGTCACTCCACAATGCCTGGAGTTGGACCAATTGGAGGCCAGGAGCTTCTCCCAGGTCTCTAATGTGAATGCAAGGACTCAAGAAGTTGGACCATCTTCGACTGCTTTCCCTAGCACCTTAACGGGAAGCATGATCAGAAGTGGAAAAGCAGAGACCCAAACTAGTACCCATATGGAATGTTGGCACCCCCAAGTGGAGGTTTAACATACTATGCCATGGTACCAGCCCCCTCTTCTTTTTTATTTTGTCTGAGATGGGAAAAATTAGAAGTGTCTGATCAAGCACACATATACTCCAGCAATATTATCCACATCTTGGAGAAAGCTCTGGTCTAGTACAGCGAGTGCATGTCAGAAGCTGGCTTCTGTATCCTCATTCCAGATAGGTACGGTGATCGTCTGGATGTAGGTGATGTGTCATAGCTCACATGTGCTTTCTGTGGCAAGCATGCACAAAACAGGAAGAATGGCTAGATTTCAAGAGACCAATTCACAGAGATACTCTGCACAGATGTGTTGAGCTGAAGTCCTCCTGACGTGGGAAGGTTCAGTGATGGGGACACACACCTGTGTGGCCCCTGGGAGCTGGGCAGGTGCTTTGATGACAGATGTGCAGACATGGGCTGTTTGCTTATCTGTGATGGTGTGACAGTGACACACGTGTCTGAGATAGATGATGATGCTTGGGGTAGGCGTGCTGCACACGTCAGGAGAGTGAGCTCACAGGTCTTCACAGGAGGAGTCCCTGTGTCAGGATATTTCTGCCCCAGTTGTCCCAGGACCTGGGATTCCTTTCATTCAGGCTCACAGGATGATGTCAGCATTTGGTTGGAAACATGGATGGCTATGAACACCCCAGAGGGGAGCTGACAATCAGATTGTGAGCATACAGGAAGCTGAGGATGGGACTTGGCTGTTATTGCCAGGTCTCCACCTTTGCAGAACCAGTGGGGCCTTTCACGGAGGAATGCTGCTAAGCACACCACACAGGTGTGAGCACTTGCCCGCACATGTGTGCACGCACACACACACATGTGGAGTCTAGTATCCTTGGAGCCTTCCAACTCACCCATGTATGTTTTAGATCGTGTCTGTCTTCCCCAGTTTCTCCATCTCCCCCAATGCCCATCCTGAACCCCGTTCATGCTCCCCCCTGTTCTGCTGGTACAGACTGTGCTGGTGATCACCTACCGAGAACCCCCAAATCCCGAGTATCAGGAATTCCAGAAGCGTCTGCTCCTAAGAGCCCGGGAAGACTTCGGCGTGGAGCTGGCTCCCTCTCTGGTGAGTAGCTCCCTTCCCTTGAGAGAGTGAGGGACCCACTTTCCAGAAAGAACTCCTCCTCTGAGCTCAGTATCAAGGGTGGGCAGTGAGCAAGCCCCATGGGGCAGGAGGGTCTGTCCACTTCCATCTGGGGCCCCTCCTTCCCAGGATTAGTGAAACAGGGATGGTGCTTTAGGAAGGAGGGGAAAGGTACAGCAGAGGGGGGAAGAGTCAGTAGGGGGACCTAAAGATGGGGCCAGAGGGTTGGAGCAGGACCCTTGGCAGGGTGTTTGCAGAGAGCCACCATCCCCAGATGAACCTCATTGCTGGCTGCTTCTACGACGGCATCATGCTCTATGCCGAAGTCCTCAACGAGACAATCCAGGAGGGAGGCTCCCGGGAGGACGGACTGCGGATTGTGGAGAAGATGCAGGGGCGAAGATACCACGGTAGGTTCCTTGTGGGGAGGCACTGATGGGACCCTAAGGGCTGGTGGCGGGCTTGAGCATGGACTGGATGGACAGCGGAAGAAGCAGACCTGGAGCTAGTTGGGGGCTGGAGCATGTGGCATGGGTGAGCTTATCTCCGGGGAACTGGGGTGGGGATGGGCTCTGAGGCACTTGGAGGTACTGAGGGATGGGACAGGGGATTAGGGTAGAGCTCAGTGGAACAGGGGGCCTGGGCTCCTTTCCATTTAAGGTGTGACTGGCTTGGTGGCGATGGACAAGAACAATGACCGGGAGACCGATTTTGTCCTGTGGGCCATGGGAGACCTGGATTCGGGGGACTTCCAGGTGATGGGGGAGGGGGCAGGGAAGGGAGCAAGACCCTGCACAAGTCAGTCTTCAAGGGTCAGGGAGGCAGTGACACCTCCTAGCTGGGTGGGAGGCTATTGATGGGGGGAGGGGCAAAGAGAGGTCCAGCAGGTGGGTGCCGGGGGAGCAGGCCCGTGGGCCCAGTCTTCTGCTTCCTCACAGCCTGCAGCCCACTACTCAGGAGCCGAGAAGCAGATCTGGTGGACAGGACGGCCCATTCCCTGGGTGAAGGGGGCGCCACCCCTGGACAACCCCCCCTGTGCTTTTGACTTGGACGACCCATCCTGTGATAAAAGTGGGTGTGTGCAGGGAACGGGAGCTGAACTTTCTGCCCCGCCCCCTGCACCCTCTCCCCGCCCTCACTGGCCGCCCACCCTGGGCTGTAACTTCTCTCTCCACCCTGACTCCTTTCCCTCAGACACCTGCCAGCTCCCTGCCCTTGAGCCTGGTCCTGGCCAGCTCTTTAGTCCCCTCCCCCAGTCTTTCTCAGGGTCTCCTTCTGCCCCTCAGCTCCTCTCTCTACGCTGGCCATCGTGGCTCTGGGCACAGGAATCACCTTCATCATGTTTGGTGTGTCCAGCTTTCTCATTTTCCGGTGAGTTCTGGGCTTCTCGCTGAGCAGCACCTCCCAAGGCCTCCCCAACCTCTGAGGACAGGGGATCCTGATCACTCGGGAGAAGAGCAGCAGGTGTCCGTTGAGACCTAGCAACAGCTTCTCTCTGTCGTGGCCTTCTGAGCAGCAGTTCATTCCACTTGGGGTTGGGTTTTAGGCTGGCTGTCCTAACTGGTCATTTTGAGGGGGGCTGAACTCCAAGGTGATTTTTTTTCTTCTCCTCAGTTGCACCATGTGTTTGGAAGTGTGCCCAGGGCACACACTGGCATGTAGAGAATGCCACATCCTTCTAGGGTGGCCTCCCTCGCGGCATAGCGGCTGCAAGAGGTGCCAGGTTGCCTGGCCACTGCCATTGGCATTGCTGGCTGTGGGGGTGGTGGGGCCAAGCTGGCCGGTCAGCTGAGGTGTGCAGTCCTTACAGGAAGCTGATGCTGGAGAAGGAGCTGGCCAGCATGCTGTGGCGCATCCGCTGGGAGGAGCTGCAGTTTGGCAACTCGGAGCGCTGCCATAAAGGTGCAGGCAGCCGTCTGACGCTGTCACTGGTGAGCCCTCGCCCCTGCCGGCTGGCCCTCTGCCTCCCCGCCTGCCACTATCCGTTCTCACCCTGGACCTCTCCCAGCACATCGGCCTATAATGCCAGCCCCTGCACTCCCACCACCATCTAATGTTCCTTTCATCCTTCCGCCTCCATGTTGCCCTTGGCCCCAGCGGGGATCCAGTTACGGCTCGCTCATGACAGCCCATGGGAAATACCAGATCTTTGCCAACACCGGTCACTTCAAGGTGAACAGTCGTCCGCTTGTTCTGGTCCCCCACCATCTCATCCAGTCTCATCCCCATCTGCCACCACCTCTGTCCCTCTGATGACCCCTCTGTGTGCCCTGCTGAGCTCCTGGGTGACCGGCTGCTCTCCAGTGCTGTCCAGACATGCCTGACACTCGCTTTCCCCTTCCTCTTCCTCCTCACCATCAGGGAAATGTGGTCGCCATCAAGCATGTGAACAAGAAGCGCATTGAGCTGACCCGTCAAGTCCTCTTTGAACTCAAACACGTACGTGATGCAGTCTGGCTGGAGGATGAGGGTTAAACATGGTTGGGGTAGGGAAATTGGCTAGAAGGGCTGGGTGATCCTCGCAAAGTGATCTTGGCGTTTACATGCAAGTGATTTTAAGCTGTAGGTACAACAAGAGAAAGGTCTTCTTGTCACTCTTTTGATTCTCTTGTCCTTCCCGGTGGTTTTCTGGCAGATGAGAGACGTCCAGTTCAACCATCTCACTCGCTTCATCGGGGCCTGCATCGACCCTCCTAACATCTGCATTGTCACTGAATATTGCCCTCGGGGGAGTTTACAGGTGACAAGACAGGGCTAGGGAGTGTGGCTCCACGGTAGATGGACTGTCTGCCAGGTGACAGCTAGTGAGATGAGAACAGCCATAATCTATTCCGTGTCCCTTACCAGGATATTTTAGAAAATGACAGCATCAACCTGGACTGGATGTTCCGTTACTCGCTCATTAATGACCTTGTGAAGGTAAGTCTCCCCCATGCCCACCTGATGGCTCTCTTCCTTCTCATCCCTGATGGTCATGTTCTCTCCGTCACGTGCCATGGCTGGGTAACCATGGTTAAACCAGAGATTTCAGATGTGTAATGGCAGGCAGGGGAGTGAGCTTTATCTGCTGCCAGGAGGCTGATACCTTCGGGGAAGTCTTGTCTTTCAAGTTAGATATCTCACACCTCTCTGCATTGTCTCCGTGACCTCCAGAAATGTGTATGTGACAATCCCTCGGCTGGGGGCAGGGTGGCATCTAGCTGATGAGGAGGCCTGTATCTGAGACCTAGGTTTTTGGTTCCATGCCTGGCTCCACTTCTGACTCTGTCTTCCTGTTGGTGCAGACGCTGAGAGGCAGCTGTGATGGCTCACGCAGTTGGGTTTCTGGCCACTCACTTTGGGAGACGTAACTTGAGTTCCTGTCTCCTGGCCACTGTGGGTGGGCATGGGGAGCGAACCAGTGGATAAGTGTGTGCCCTTCTTTCCATTCTGTTTTTTTTGTTGTTGTTGTTGTTGTTGCTTCTCTGTCTCCCTAATAATAATAATAATAAATTTAAAGTTCAAATCCCTTGGCAGAGAAATGATGAGTGGGGTGTCTGAACATGCTTATCTCTTGTTTTTCCTCTCATCATTGGACCCTCTGACCTGTATTTGGCATGTCTATTCCTTTGTTCAGAAAACTGAAATTTTTGAAAGAAAATTTATTTGTAAAATAAACCAAAAAAAATTGTACTAAGCCTTTAGTATCCTGCCATTATACTAGGTTTTATCTATTTTCAAATAACCTTGAAAGGCCTATGTGTTAATGGAGGTCTAAAATTAAATTTTTCCATGGGTTGGACAAGTGGGCAGGTGTTCTAACTTTTTTGTTGTTATTTAAAGACTTTATTTTATTTTTATTTGAAAGGCACAATTACACAGACAGAAAAGGAGACCATGAGATCTTCCATCTGCTGGTTCATTCCCCAAATGGCCACAGTGGCGAGTTGGACCAGGATGAAGCCAGGAGTCAGGATGTTCTTCTGGGTCTCTTACATGGGTGAAGGGGCTAAATGACTTGGGCCATCCTCCACTACCTTCCCAGGCACATTAGCCAGGAGCTAGGGTGGAAGTGCAGTAGCAGGGACTTGAAGCAGTGTCCCTGTGGAATATTGGCATTGCAGGCAGAGGTTTAACCTACTGTGTCACAGTGCTGCAACTAAAATTCTTTTAAAAGTTGTATTTTTTACTTATTTGAAAGGCAGAGTGACACAGAGAGAAGGAGAAAGAGAGATAGATAAACAAAAAGATCTCTCATCCACTGATTCACTGCCCAAATGGTCACAACAGCCAGGGAGCCTAGAATTCCATCCAGGTCTTCCATGTGGATGTCAGGTGCGCATGTACTTGGGCATTCTGTTGTTGTTTACCCAGGAGCAATAGCAGAGAGCTGGATTAGAAATGGAGAAACCAGGGGCCCGGCGGCATAGCCTGGTGGCTAAAGTCCTCACCTTGAACGCACCAGGATCCCACATGGTGCCAGTTCTAATCCCAGCAGCTCCACTTCCCATCCAGCTCCCTGCTTGTGGCCTGGGAAAGCAGTCGAGGACCGCCCAAAGCTTTGGGACCCTGCACGCACCCATGTGGGAGACCTGGAAGAAGTTCCTGGATCCTGGCTTCGGATTGGCGCAGTACCGGCTGTTGCGCTCACTTGGGGAGTGAATCATCGGATGGAAGATCTTCCTCTCTGTCTCTCCTCTTCTCTGTATATCTGACTTTGTAATAAAAATAAGTAAATCTTAAAAAAAAAAAAAGGAAAAAGAAATGGAGAAACCAGAGCTTGAAGATGTCATCTGATATGAGCTTCTGATGGTCCAGGCAGTGGCTTAACCCCTGGGCCACAATGCCAGCCCTGAACAAGTGGGTTCAGAAGCTGGTCCCAACCAAGGAGCAAGCCTAGAGGATAACCACTCACTGCCCAAGGCTGGGTTTGGTTTGCTGCCAAATTATCATGAAGTTATTTCAAAAAATATTTGTATGTGAGAGAGAGTAAGTCAGCCATCATATGAGAGATAAAGTATTAGGTCAAGCCGACATCATAGTCAACTACAGGTGTGATGATAAATACAAGAAAAATGTGACCCCTGACAACAGCAATCGATGGAAAAGCGACTTTGAATAGAGCCAGAAGCCTGGCCATTTCTGTGATGTTTCCATTGAGTGAAATTCACAGATCTGGTGATTCCTGAAGGTTTTGCTGATGACCAGAAGAAATAAAAGAGGAGTGGTGAGGGGGATTAGGTCATTGCATGCAACTCCGGCATCTCTTATGCACACTGGTTCAAATCCACTTTTGATCCAGCTCCCTGTTAATGTGTTTGGGGAAGCAGTGGGAGACAGCCAAAACGTTTGTTCACCTGAAGGAAATCTGGATGGAGTTCTGGGCTCCTGGATTCAGCATGATTTAACCCTGGCCATTACGACCATCTTGGGAGTGAATCCAAGGAAGGAAGAGTTTGTTCCCCACCCTCCTCCTGTTTTCTCTACGTCTGTCCTTTTCTCTGTGTGACTGTGCCTTTCAAATAAGTAAATAAGTAAGTAAGTAAGTAAATAAATATACATAATTTTATCTTCATCAACAAAAATAAATGAAAGGGAAGAATTCCCATAGACTAGAATGATCAATTTTTTAAGGCCAGAACTAACCATTTGGACTGTGTTTAGGATCAACAAACAGAACCCTAAGTCCTTTTTCTGCCCCACCTAGAACTGATGTGGAGGGGTCCCAGCGTTTTGGCTTGGGAAACACTACTTTAAGACCAGGCTTCTTCAGAGGCCACAGCCAGGCCAAGTTCTCTCCTCTCTGGTCCCACTGTGTCTTCTGCCTTAGCTTAGCAGTCATCATCTACTTTTGACCACTTTCCAGGCTGCCCTGATTTATCATTTACCCCACCTTTTCTTGGAGCCAGCACTCCTGTAGTAGATCATAGTCCTCCACCCCAACTGGCTTGCCTGCATATTCAGCTCCTCTTGGTGCCTAGGTCAAACCTTGGCTTCCTGGTGACCAGCCCCATTGCAGACCTCATCTTATTCTTGCTGTTCAACCTCACAGTGAATGTGCCTTTCACTATTGTCCAGTGGAATCGCCTTTCTCAGGAGACTGGTTCCCTTTCTAGGGTAATAATTGATAATAAGCTGCTCTTATCCTTCCTCTTAAGAATGTTTCCAGAGCTAGTGCCATGGAACAGCAGATAATTTCTCTGCCTATGGTGCCAGCATCTCATGTGGATGCTGGTTCTAATCCCAGCTGTTCTGCTTCCCATCCAGCTTCCTGATAATGTGCCTGGGAAAGTAGCAGCAGATGGCTCCAGCACTGGGCCCCTGTACCTATGTGGGAGACCCAGAAGAAGCTCCTGGCTCCTGGCTTCTGACCTATTCAGCTGTGACTGTTGCAGCCATTTGGGTGGGGAGTGAACCAGCAGATGAAAGATTTCTCTGTCCTCCTCTCTTTTCTGTTTCTGTAAATCTGCCTTAAAAAGAAAAGACTGTTTCCTATCCCTGGGTGTCTATATGTAGCTGTCAGCTAGTGAGGAGGGATGTCTTTCCTGTTCTGCTAACTTCCTTGGGTGGAAATTGTGCAAAGGATGCTGTCTGAAATCAGTTTGCCATGTTTACTTATTTGAGAGGCAGAGAGAAAAGAGTAGGGAGCGAGGCAGTAAGAGCAAATTCCCACCTGCTGATTCACTCCCCAAATGCACTGTAGAACCTCTAGCTGGTAGCTGGAGCCTAAGTCTGGAGCCATGAACTCGCTTGGGGTCTCCCACATGAGTGGCAAGACCCCAACCACTTGCACCATCACCACCAACCTGCAGGTTGCAGGCTCTGTATCGGGAGGAGAGTGCAGTCAGGAGCTGGAGGCATTCTGAAAGGGCATGTGGGTGTCTTCACTGGTGGCTCTCATGCCTGCCCCTCAACCTGCCACGTGTAAGACCTCCAGATCTTTAAAGAGCTGCCTAGAGACCACCTTCCGGAGAGGGGCTATTCTACGTCACAACCGACCCAGTTCCACATCTTGACTTGTATTCTGCTAGGGTATGGCCTTTCTGCACAATAGCATTATTTCATCCCATGGGAGTCTCAAGTCCTCCAACTGTGTGGTGGATAGCCGTTTTGTGCTCAAGATCACGGACTATGGCCTGGCCAGCTTCCGGTCAACTGCTGAACCTGACGACAGCCATGCCCTCTATGCCAGTGAGGCCTGCATATGCATTATTGGGGAGCATTATAGAAATGAGCTGGGTGGACTTGGGGGTGCATTGTTTGGGAGGCCCAGCTAGCCTGTTCCTTTTATTTTTTTCTCAGAGAAGCTGTGGACTGCCCCAGAACTCCTCAGTGGGAATGCCTTGCCAACCGCCGGCATGCAAAAAGCTGACGTCTACAGCTTTGGCATCATCCTGCAGGAGATAGCACTTCGGAGTGGTCCTTTCTACCTGGAAGGCCTGGACCTCAGCCCAAAGGGTGCGAGTCAGCCCACTGCTCTGGGCCTCTTCTTCCCACCAGCCCTCCAGCATAGGGGGGTCCTCTGTTTCTCATCCTAACCTTTCATCACCGCCCCCCCCCCAGAGATTGTCCAGAAGGTCCGGAATGGTCAGCGGCCATATTTCCGGCCAAGCATTGACGGGACCCAACTGAACGAAGAGCTGGTTTTGCTGATGGAGCGATGTTGGGCCCAGGACCCAGCTGAGCGGCCAGACTTTGGACAGATCAAGGGTTTTATACGCCGCTTCAACAAGTGAGAAAGTGTAAAAGGGGCAGGGGCTCCCAGGGCTTTAGTGGGTGAGGTAGGACTGGGAACAGGGTTGCGGGGGTGGGCCAGGAGTCCTGGGAGTCTTGGCAAGGGTGTCAGATCCTGTTCTCCCCCCACACACCCCACCTACCCAGGGAGGGTGGCACTAGCATACTGGACAACCTCCTGTTGCGCATGGAACAGTATGCCAATAACCTGGAGAAGCTGGTGGAGGAACGCACGCAGGCCTATCTGGAGGAAAAACGCAAGGCTGAGGCGCTGCTCTACCAAATCCTGCCCCAGTAAGACATTTGTCCCCCTTCCAGAATTTTCCTTTGTGCCCCTTCTCCATTGGCTTCTGCCTCATCAGGATCCCAGGAAAGCTGCACCCCGATCTTCAGAACACCTTGTTGGTGTAGGTGCTCTGGGCTGCTTTCTCTCTTGGCTTCTTGACCCTTAGGACCCTGTGCTGGCCTCAGTGTGTGTGTGCTCAGCAGCCCCACCTTGATCTGCACAGGGATTCCATTGCCACACCTCACTGTCCTTGCACCTTGCCTGGCTTGTAATGTGTTCCCAGCCACTGTCCCTTTCTGTTGCTGTCCTACTGCAGCCATGCCCCCCTTGCTGCTTTCCACCCTCTTTCTCAGAGTTTGGCTCATAGCTGCACCTTTGCTTCCTAGCTCAGTGGCCGAGCAGTTAAAGCGGGGAGAGACCGTACAGGCGGAGGCCTTCGACAGCGTCACCATTTACTTCAGTGACATTGTTGGCTTCACAGCACTGTCAGCAGAGAGCACTCCCATGCAGGTGAGCAGAAGTGGGCAGGGCCAGGGCCAAGGAGCCTGGCTGGGAGAGATATATGTTTGTTCTAGAATTCCTATTGTCTAATTAGGGCCCATGGATTAATTATTCCTGAAAAGTTGGGTACAAATCTCAAAAACCTCTGCTTGTCCATCCCTGTTAGGTGGTGACACTTCTTAATGACCTGTACACCTGCTTTGATGCCATAATTGACAACTTTGACGTCTACAAGGTGAGAGTGGAGAGAGCCTTCCTATTGAGACCACATGGGCAATGGGCCTACCTGTCCAGATGCCCATGTCCCACATCAGCAGGCGTGGGTTGGAGGCCCGGCTTTGGTACCTGTCTCTAGCTCATGCAGACCCTAGGAGGTAGTCATGATGGCTCAAGTTGTTGGGTCCTGGCCACCCATGTGGGAGACCTGGATTGAGTTTTTGGTTCCTGCCTGTGGCCCATCTCAAGTCCTAGCCCTGATGAGCACTGGGAAGTGAGCCTGGGGTGACAACCTTCTCTGTCTCTTAGATTTAACAGCCAACAGAGAAGTAACCTGTCTCTGTGGACCTGACATAGCCTATCTCCTCCATAGCTGGTTCTTGCTTCAGGATCTCCTGCAGTCTCATGCTGGTGTGCCCTCTGCGGGCAGATGCGCTCAGCACTGCAGCTCTTTGCTCTAGTCTGGTGTCTTGGGATGGTGTAGGCTTCCTTAATCAGAACTGTTGTGTGATTGAGTCCCTTCCCCCAACCCAGGCTGATGCAACTTGTCGGTCATTTCTTGCCAGTCTCCTCCAGACATGGAAGAATCACACAGGGGGAGGTACAGCTTGGTTTAGAGAGGTGAAGGGCAAGAGTGAACACATGTAGTCAAGCTTGTTGAAGTAATGGAACTGACAGAGGGCAGGGTTCATTGTCCTCAGGAATACAGAAGATCTGATCTTGAGTAGTGGCTCTGTCACTGTTGCCTTCAGTAAGGAATAGAATCTCCTTGAATTTCAGTTGTTTTATCTGTAAGATGCGAATAATGGATTTGTTCTTTTATTTGTGAGGGAGGGGAAAGATGGAGAGGGACAGAGAAAGACACAGATCTCATGTGTTCCAGTCACTGATTTACCCCTGAACGCCACAGCAGCTGGGACTTGGGCCAGGCTGGAACCAGGAACCTACAACTCATTTCAGGTCTCCCATGTGGGATGGGCAGCAGGGAGGGGTGTACATCATCAGGAAGCAGAAACTGGGGCTTTAAACCAGGCATTGTGAGGTGGGACTCGGGCATCCCACGTCTTACCTGCACCACACCTGCCCACTCCTGCACTGATTGAATGGAAATGTCTATTACTGTGTTTACACATGGTGGTCTACCATTTTGGTTGTTTCTATAATAAAGAATATGTATAAGCCAGTTACCCAGATCCATTAGTTATGCCTTCCTCTATGTGATACATTTTACAAAGATATATGTCCTTATGATGTATTTTCTGAACCATGTGAGAGTTCCATAGTACCCCTTTAACCCTAAATGGTTAGTATTTCCTTAAAACAAGGACTCTCCTCACTAAGTTTTGTTAAGTGTCTCAAGTTGAGTGTGTGCCTTCCACCTCTGACAGCCTTTATGCTCTTCACTTGAGCTTGCTCCCTCACTGCACCTCGCATGACAGCACAGCCCCTGGGTCCAGGTCCCGGGACAGGTGGAGTGACCTTCCATTCAATCAAAGGGTTCTGAGTTTTCCCCAGGGGGTGAGATGAAGAGGGAGAGGGGGTAAAGATTTTGTGACCTCCCCACTACTTCCTTACAGACCCTCAGGCCATGACATGTAACCCCCTAGGTAATCTTCTGGTCCCCAGTGGTATCCAGCTCATCTCCCTCTCCCTCCCCTGCCCCATGAATACAGAGAGAGGTGACCCCTTTTAATGCTTGCTCTCAATCAGGTGGAGACCATTGGGGATGCCTACATGGTGGTATCTGGCCTCCCAGGCCGAAACGGTCAACGCCATGCACCAGAAATTGCCCGGATGGCCCTAGCATTACTAGATGCAGTTTCTTCCTTCCGTATCCGCCACCGGCCCCATGACCAGCTGAGGCTACGCATAGGAGTCCACACGGGTAAGGCTGACTCTTGCCTGCCTTAGCCCTGGTCTCCTCTGCCTCTTCCCCAGGCGCTCCCAACCTCTTTCTTCTCCCAGGACCAGTGTGCGCTGGGGTTGTTGGCTTAAAAATGCCCCGCTATTGTCTTTTCGGAGACACAGTGAACACTGCTTCTCGAATGGAGTCGAACGGTCAAGGTGAGACCTCACTTCTCAGCCCTAGCTCGACCCCAGTCCCTTCAGAGTTCTTCCCAATCTCTAAAGTGGACAAATGATAGTTCTGAGGTGCCCAATCCTTGGTTTTGGTCATTTCTTCTCTGATTCTTCTTCCCACCCTCCCTCTGCCTACCCTGCTCCCACAGCCCTGAAGATCCATGTATCCTCTACCACCAAGGATGCGCTGGATGAGCTAGGGTGCTTTCAGCTGGAGCTTCGGGGGGACGTGGAGATGAAGGTGATGACAGGCCACAGGGAAGGGCTGCAGACAGGGAGGACAGGAGTGCCCGTGGGTGTATGGGGGGGAAGGAAGCAAGGGGTTAGGAAGTAACAGAAGAATCTGAATTGTGTTGGCTGCCTACTTGCAGGGAAAAGGAAAGATGCGAACCTACTGGCTCTTAGGAGAGCGGAAAGGGTCTCCTGGACTCCTGTAGAGGCCACTTCTTCCCAAGTCAGTCTCCTGCTGCTGGTACCTGGGCGAGCAGTGGCCACCACCATCCCTCCACCGATGTTACTCCATGCAGTGAAAGTGTGCACGGAACCCTACCACAGCTCAGCCTTGTACATAGACCTGCCCTGACCTGCCCTCCCTGGCTGGTCCCCTTCGTCCCTTCCTACTGTAAATATCTGTATCTAAATCAGAATATTTTGGCCAAATATAAAAACAACAATAACAAATCATGGTGTCCAGCCAACCCCAAGGGGAAGGTTCCAGGCTGTGGACGAGGTAACTGACAAACCCTGAATGCACAGCCTTGGGCTGAGAGAGAACCCTTTATGTCACACCATCTTCATCAAGCACAGAGAAAATGAACTTCATTTCCACCTCTGCATTTCAAACCTAGGGAGAGCCCATGTGCCGCCCCTTAGATGGGAGCGGTTCTGCCCGCTCCCTGACAAGCGAGGGAGGACACAACTCCTGGTCGATAGGGGTGACTCTCATCTTCATAGGGCAAAGGCTGGCCCAGGGACAGCGGCACTGGCGTGGAGAAGCTGCAGTTCTTCCGGAATGGGGTGTCCAGCGTCCTGATGTTGCTGACACCCTACGGGAGTGCCAGGGTGAGGCCAGATCCTAGTCCATCTCCCCACCCCAAGCCAGCACAGAACACAATCCCTGCCTTGGACACACACCGTCACCTGTGGTGCCCTCTGCTTCCAGAAGGTTTCAGGTTGTTCCTTTCGGTAGTCATGAGGCTGGGAGGGAGAAGGGCCTTGTAAGTGACTCTTGGTCTCTGCTGATGGCCTATGGTCCCCCACCCTTCTCCCCCAATCCCCAGCCTCGGAGGCCCACTGTGTGGGTGAGTTCTCACCTTCGTTGGGGCAGGGGGCCCTGCACGCACCAGCTCCATTCGGTAGTCCTGGTGCGTCACAGACTGGACTTCATACAACTTCTTTGTGGGCTGCTGCTCAGCCTGCACTTCCTGCCTACAGTCCTGAGGGAGGTCAAGCCATTCTCTCTCAGCTTCCCCCTACTCCCCAGCCCCCTGGCTTCCCAGGCTCTCACCAGATCTGTTGACGTAGGAGCAGCTCCACCATGGCTTCACGCTTCCCTGGGCGGGGTGGGGAGACAAAGCAAGGGGGCAGTGAGGGGGTCGCGCTCAGAAGAGACCCACTGGAGAAAAGGAAGGAACCACTGGGGATGTTGCCCTCAGAGTCCTCAAACCACCCCCTACCGCAGCAGAAACCCCCAGCTCTCATTTGTCCTGCAACTGATGGGCTCATTCTGCCCATGTCTCTCGTGCCTTCACACCTCGAAGTGGCTGGTGAAGGTTTGCTGGGGGCAGAAAAGAGTCTTTGTGGGTGGTGCTAGAAGACATGGGTGACTGCGGGTGCAAGGTCAGCAGCCCCAGGTGTCCATGCCGGAAGAAGAAACTCTCGGAGCCATCATGCAGGCTTGGGACTTGATCCAAGTGGTTGGTGGCTCTCTGTGGGCCCAGGTTGAGTGGCTGTGAAATCCCTTCCCTCATCATTAACCGCCTCCTTCAGGAAACTGGGAGCAGCCTCCAGAAAGACAAGGAAGCAGGCCAGACTTTTCCTACCTCTTCCTCCCAGTTGTGGAGGAGACACTGGCCCCGCGGTGGCACCTCCTTAGAAACCCAGGGCTTCCTTGCGGCCTGGGAAGGCTTCCATGGTCCACGGGAACCTGGCTCTGAGACTTGCAGAAACTCCCACTGTCGTGGTTTCTCAACTTCCCAGGGGCACTGGTCACCCGGGGAGGCATAGTCAGGAGTCATGTCTGTCCCAAGGCTTCTGAACTTCGGAGAGGTGCCAGAGGCTGGACCAGGCTGAGAGGTAGGACCAGAGCTTTGCCCAGAGCGAGAGCCAGGGACTGAGCCCAAGCCGTGGCTAGGACCCAAGCCAGAGCCAGAGTCAGGATCCAAATCAGAGGTCGTGATACAGACATGGCCTTGACCAGAGCTGGAGCCAGGGGCAGAGCCATGACCTGGACCAGGCCTGGAGCCAGGGACCGAGGTGTGGCCGGGACTAGAGCTGGAGCCAAGGGCCGAGGGGTGGCTGGGACTAGAGCTGGAGCCAAGGGCCGAGGGGTGGCCGGGACTAGAGCTGGAGCCAAGGGCCGAGGGGTGGCCAGCACCTGAGCTGCTGCAGAGACCAGGCCCAGGGGTGGAGCTCTCAGTTGTAGTATAGGGGTCCCGAGCCACGTAGGAGATGTAAAGTGGCTCAAGGCAGAGACCCCCGTGGCCTATCTTGCGGGGAGGGCTGGGTTGAAGACTGTCAGAGGAAGGTTCTGTGAACCCAGAATAGGGCGCCCTGCTCTTGGCACACAACGCAGCTGCTTTGGCGGTGGAGGCGGCTGTAGCAGCTGATGCAGCTGATGCGGCGGCTGCAGCTGCTGAGGTGGCGGCTGCCAGGGCAGTCCTGGGACCGCCATCCGAAGAAGGGAACTGTTCTGAAGTGGACTCTGGCCCTCCGGAGCTGGGCTGAACTTCTGAAGAACTAAAAAAAAAAGTGACATGCAGATACCCGCCCCCCCCCCTCTTTTTTGGCTGGTCTCCCTTGTTCCCTTGACGCCAGTAGCCAGAACTACAAGCTCTTACCGTAGGTGCGACCCCTCGGTAGACTCGGTGGTGTCCATCTTCCAACCCGCGCTACCGGGTTGCCATAGAGACTGCAAACAATTCCCGGAGACTGCGCAGAAGCAGAGCCGGGGGAAGCAGGAGGGTCGCAGGGGGTGGGGCGGAAGTCAGCTTTGGTGCTATCTTCCAAAGTTCCGGCCATTCTGCTCCAGCAGGATTTTAAGGTTCCGGTGGCCCAAGACCCCCTGACCCCATGAGCCTTTATGGTTCTGCAAGGCGTTTATGGGACTATGCTGAAGACAGATGTGGTTGTAGATTAAAAATTAACGCCTGTTTGATGTGTTTGTGGTGGAGAGGCAACCGTAACTTTGCCATAATTTGCTTAGTTCATTCCCAAAAGTTTGGTGGGGGAGGGTGGTCTAAAAATGTTTAAGGTCGAAAATATGTGACACAGCCTAAGAGAAACCTGGTGAGCCTCATGGAGCTGTGAGAAGGTAGCAGCTTTTGTGTGTTTACTTGTTCTCCAAGAGAAAGTCCTTAACATGATTTTCCCAGTGGCCCTTAGAAACGGCTCTGGGCTCTGAATATGAGCCAGGATTGAGCATGCCTCACACTTGGGTTTGAACTACTTAGACTCATTGCAGTTGCTACTTTTCAGGCAGCATGGCCTGGGACAACCCCCTTGGACCTGGGAACTCACAGAACTGCAGGCACAGGGTGGACACCTGACCTAGGACAGTCCATTAGTTCTGCTCACACAGCTGCAAGCACAAGGTGAACCACTTCAAGGGACAAGCACCATGTATTCCATTTTTTGATTAAAGATAAGGATGCAAGGTTAATAAAGAAAATGTTTATTAGAATCACAGGGACAGCTTTTCCCACAGCCAGCCAGACAAATATCCAGGTCTGGGGTCCCGGGTCCACTGGCAGGATCAGCCTGGAGGCCACAGGAGCTGTCGACCCCCAAGGACGTGAATGTGCAGGTGATAGACAGACTGTGCCCCCATCTTCCCGTCGTTGATCACTGGAAGAGAATTTGGGGGATTAGGCTTACGGGAGAGGTCAAGAAGATCCTTCTGAGACACAGGGATGAGAATGCACAGGTGAGGGGTCCTGGGGCCAAAGCTCACTCACCAAGGCGGTATCCGTCGCCCAGGCCCTCAGCCTTGGCTGTCTTCTTGGCCACAAGGAGTAAGTGTCCTAAAAGCTACAGGGAAAGGAGAGGGACGGGGCAGCTGCATTCCCAGCAGCCTGACCTGAAGCACACCATGTCACCACCCAGCCAGACCCTGGCCCCTAGACTTCCCACCTGTTGATCTTCTTCTTCGGCCTGGCTAATCCGAGGAATGGGTTTCTTGGGAATGACCAGGAAATGCACGGGAGCCTGAGGGGCCACATCCCGGAACACCAGACACTGGGAGTAGTGACAGGCCAGAGGTCACCAGGTGACATCAACAAGCTGGGGAGGGGGGCGTCTATGAAATCCCTGAAGGGGTTGGGTCCTGCGGGGCACCCCACCTGCTGGTCCTCATAGAGAATGTCAGCTGGGAGGCTTCGGTCCAGGATCCGGGAGAAGATGGTGGGGGCTGCTCCCCCGGGAGCTGCCTGCTGGGCCTTGGCCACTTCATCCCCATCGGTCATACTTGCAGCTCCCCGGACCTGAAGGGCAGGAGGGAGCTGGAAGGCCTGTCTTGCTGACTCAGCCTGGGCTGGCAGAAGCTGGGTTGCCTAGTCATTCCTTTTACTCTGTTAGTGGGGTCTGCTCAAGGGAGAAGCTCCTGAGTTTCAGAGCACCCAGCAGCAGGGCGTTGGGGGCTTGGCTAGGTAACAGGGTTCTGATCCTAGCACGATTTGGCTGTGACACCTTCCCCAGGCAGGAGGAAGGTCCTGGAATGGACCCAATCACCTGACACATCCCTTCTCCAGGCTTCAAATCTCAAAGCGGTTGTTGGCAACACTTCTCTGGCCGAAAGCTGTTTACACACACCATTTATTCCCATGACTTGTTTTCCAGTTCTTTAAGGCCTTGCTGGTTTTATTTAGGTTTTAGTGCCATTCTGCTGTTAGACACAAGTTGATCCCTTGTTGGGATGTCACATCTGGTCTCCTACTGTGGAATCTAGCTCGAGTGACTTGAATCAGTGGAGGTAATAGTTGAGCTAATTGGACTCATGTCCCCCAACCCCAGGTGATTTAGGGGTTATGAAGTCCCAGTCTCCCACGGGCTCACAGAAGGAGAAAGCAGGTGCATAGCGTTGAGGGGGACGGAATGAAAAAAAAAACAGAAACAAAAACCCTAGCCGCTTCTGGCAATGAGGAAGAGAGATCCACCTAAGTGTTCCTTAGAAAGCCACAAATGCCTGACTGACAAGGCTCACTTCCTGCAGGGGCGAGTGCACGCGAGGGGCCCGGGAAGGCAGCCGGCATGCTGCAGGAACCCTGTCCCGACCTGGGCGCCCGGGGCCCGTGCTGCAGGGGGGTCATCGCTAGTGCGACTCACTGCACAGCCCCAAACTTGTCCTTCGGAACGCGCGGCGACTGCAGCCGGGCGCAAGGCCAGCCTGGCCTTCCGGAGCCGCGGAGGAACGCATCTCTCGGCCCCGCAGGACGTCAAAACCTGCAAGACCCCTCCTCGCCCCCGAGGCCTCCTCTCACCTGCGACCCCCGCGGCCCCGCGGCCGCCAGGGCCCTGCGCGCTACGCGCAAAGCGGCGCTCAGCGCCACGGCCGCCGCCATCTTCTACTCCCCGGCCGCACTTTGGCCTCACGGCGGCCATTGGCTCCGCCCGCGGCCAGGGAGCGGGTCCTGCCATCCCATTGGAGCGCGCTTCTGGGCACGCTGCGTCCTATTGGCTCTCCTGCCACTTTGGAGGCGGAACCTTCCCATCCCACTGGCGCCGAACCGCGCAGGACCCGTCTCCCACTGCGTGAACCTTTACAGCGATGCCTCCTTAAATAGTCTCGCTATGAAGTAAAACTCCCACTCAACGAGAGTGTTGAGGAACTTGGAGGTGGGAGTTTTCCAGTGAAATTGTACTAGCACGACGTGCTGCGCAGGTGAGGTGTCCTCGCCCTGGGCGTGTCCTGCGCAGGCCCCGCCCCGGGTGGGCGCGGCGGAACTGGGCGGTGCTCCTTCACCTGCCACTCGGTGCACTGGCAGGTCCTTCCGCCGCATTGGCCCGGAGGAAGGCGGGGTTCTGAGGACTTCCGGCGCTTATTGGCTCCAGGGGCCAGGAAGGCAGGGCTAAAGGTGACCTGACATAAGGGGTCATTCTTTTGCTGGTGGTTCTGTCGCCAATATTTTCGCTACGAGGCTGATTTCCGTCTCCGAACATTTAGAAGAGTTTGGACACATTGACTGCATATGTTAGAGAATCTTGAGTTTTCACGGCAGGTTTTTTCCCCCTAATATTTTTATTTGAAAGATTTGCGGAGAAAGATCTTCCATCCACCGATTCACTCCCCAAATGGGCTCCACGGCCAGAGCTGAGCTGATCCAAAGCCAGGTGCTTCTTCTGGGTCTCTCACGTGGGTACAGGGTCGCAAGGCTTTGGGCCGTCTTCTGTTGGCTTTCGCAGGCACATTACCAAGGGAGCTGCGTGGGAAGTGGAGCAGCCGGGACACGACCCAGTGCCTATTTGGGATGTCGGCACTGCAGGTGGGGGATTAGCTTGCTAGGGCCACCATGCCTCTTGTAAAGTTTTTGGCATAAGAAGCCTGAGTTCTCTAACACCCTCTGACATCAGCCAACTTTCATTCTAAGGTTGAACACAGGCCTTGTGTTATCACCATAGCTGATTGCCCGCCTCAGTTTGATTCACTGGAGTGTGTTTCAAGAAGTTGGTCAGTTTTCATGCATTTTCTGAGATCCCATTCACATGTTTTTTTTTCCCCCACAATATATATTTCTGCAATCTTTTTTAAAATTTTTTTTAAAGATTTATTTTTATTATTTTTTTTATTGGAAAGGCGGAAATACAGAGCAGAGAGACAGAGAGGAAGATCTTCCATCCTATGATTCATTCCCCAAGTGAGCGCAACGGCCAGTGCTATGCTGAACTGAAGCCAGGAGCCTCTTCCGGGTCTCCCACATGGGTACAGGGTCCCAAAGCTTTGGGCCGTCCTCGACTGCTTTCCTGGGCCACAGGCAGGGAGCTAGAAGGAAGTGGGGCTGCCGGGGATAGAACCGGTGCCCATATGGGATCCCGGGTGTGCAAGGCGAGGGCCTTAACCACTGCGCCACCGCGCCGGGCCCAATATATCTGCAATCTTTTAGAAGATCCCACATATAGATGCTAAATCATGTTGAATATGGTATTCATTTTCATTTTAAATGACAGGCTATAGTACACATTGTATTCTACTCACATTTTTTCTTAGGATGATATAGTCTATGTAAAATTTCTTTGTGATGGTTGCATAGTGTGTGTAATGTTTGTGTGAGCTTAGTGTATCAGCATCCTTCCTCTGTGGTTGACTGTTAGTTTTAGGTGCATGGTTATGGTGGCACATACAGCCAGTGTTCAGGGAGATGGGCAACCTGCTTTGTATCGCTGTTGGAACATTATGGTTAGTGTGTTCCCCAGAGGACAGGCATGCGAGCCTGTCATTTCCCCCAGGGATCCTGTCTGCCCAGGCTGGAAGGACATGTGGTCTCCCAAATATAAGGAAACATGAGATGGGCTCTTCTCCGTGGACCAGAGGCTGCTGGTTGGCTGGCTGCCAGGCCCCCCAAGAACCTCCCTGGAGAAGGCTGCACGGGAAGTAGAGCTGGGATCCAGCAGCCCTGAGGGTGCGTGAGGACAAAGCCTGCTGAGACAGGGTCTTTCTTTGGTTCCCACAGAGAGCAGGCAACACAGGGGTTGGGCTTGTTTTACAGATCCAGACACGGTGAGGCCCAAAGGGGGAAAGTGGCCTGCCTATGCTCTGGGCTGGGTGACGGTCAGGACCTTCAGGTCACACTGACGGCTGGCCAGCTTGCTGCCTTCTGCATGCTGCACACGTGTCACGCAGCAGCTGCTCCCTGCTGAGCCGCAGGCGCCGGCTTCTGCGTCTCCAGCGCGTCCAGTCCTGACCTCACTGGGGACTTTTGGCAGTCTGCCACTGGCGTCCTGCATTCACTCTCCTTCCCTGTTGCTGTGGCCCACTCCTTGTACATGCTTATGCACACTTCTTCCCTTCCTCAGCCTCCCGGGCACTCTCCCAACAGTGTCCATTCAGCTGCGTGTTTTGCTTCCCCACAGTCGGGCTCTCACTTTCAACTGCACCTGAATTTTCACCCGCACAGTGATCCGGTTTTTCTGCAGTTCTCTGCACTTTCCCTTCTCCTCCTCCCTTCTCTCACCTTCCTCGCTAGCAGCTGATCCTTAGCTCCTAGTCCACAGAGGACACGGAAGCCATCAGAGTGGACCTTGCAGAGGATGCTGCCCCGAGCACCCAGCGATGGCCCAGACTCTGTTCTTCCTCCTGGTCTTAGGAAGCGATGCTTGTGTTTGTTGTTTCCTCCTTCCCGCTCCAGCTCATCTCACCTCTGTTCCGTATCCTTCACTTTTCTTTTTTTGTCTTTAGCCTCACCCCCATCTCCTTTTCTTGACACTCCACACACACCTTCAGGGATTGTCTTACTTCCTTAGTGACTTTTCTTCCAAGTTTCTGGAAGACAGGCCTTAAAAGTCAACTGTACTCAGAACCCAGTCCCTGAAGACCTAATTGCCAAACCCGGCAGATGCTTTTCAGTCCTTTGCTCACTGCGGCCTCAGCTGCAGCTTAATCTCACTGCTTGTCCAGCTTTCTGGGCGCCCCCTCCCCTTCCTTGTCTTTGTTGAAGCTATTGATGTTAGACTCAGCAGTTTGAATATTGGGGTGGTGGGGCAGGTAAGTTGGATCTATAGCCTCTCTCCTGCTTTTTGCTGACTTCAGGGTCTTGGGGATTCTGTCCCTCACCCAGGCTCTACCTGCCCCATTATAGAATCAGGTCAGATTCCAGTGGTTCCCCTTTATTGCTGGTTCAGGCGGGACTCATATCGGCCTGTGCCAGTTGCTGAAAGCGTGTGACCCTAAAGGAGACAAGAACCAGGTAAAAGCGTCAGGTGTGGAGGCCAGGCCAGATGCAGATGCTGTGTCTGAGGGAGGGAGCCCTGGGGTGCCCTGGGATGGCTCAAGGCCTCTCTCTGTGTAAGCCTTCAGGTCAAGCTGTGGATGGCTTCTCAGAGCACCTGTATCTCTGTTAAAGGCACACAGACTATTCCTGGGAGTGGAAACCAGTGCCTGAGTGGAATGCAGGGGAAAGGATGTTGGTGCCTTGGCAGGGGCTGAGGGAACATGGTGAAGGGCCCGGATGCCTGCCTGCTGCTCTTTCCCACTCCTGTGTCATATTGCCTCCTCACCATGAGGTCTCCCTCTCCGCCGCCGGGTCTCCTCAGTCTCAAAGAAGGTCTCATGCTCCTCCCAGCGCCGGTCACAGGCCGCACACAGGAAATTAGACTCAAAACAGCTACAGCAACAGCCTGGGGCCAAAGGGCAGCCAGAAAAATATAAGGAATTGGGGTTTCCCCCGGAACTCTTCCCTACCCATCCACAAGCTCAGTGTCTCCTGCTGGCTCCCCAGCCTCAGCCCCAAACTATTGGCATCCCAGCCCCTCCTCAGGGCCTCCCCCCAATGTGCCCCAGCGCTTGAAGTTACCGTGATGTCGGCAGGGATGGGGCCCCATGGCCGCATGGTCTTCATGGCTGTGTTTGCAGCGACAATGTGCTCTCCAGGCCTTGGGGTCAAATGTGGCCCGTCTCTTGAGCCAGAACTCACCCACCTCCTCAGGGCGTGACGGGATAAAGCAGAACATGAGGCAGCGGCACTGGCTCACACGGCAAGGCACAGATATGTCTGTGGGCATGAGGATGGGTGCTGGGGTAAACCTGGTTCCTGATGGGGTCTGGCTTTCCTATGGCACCCTTCCCACTGTACTGCCTACCCCCAGCATGTGTATATACACTCTCATATGTGACGGTACCATTTCTTCTCCACACCCCCATAGGGTCATCTCCCCTACCTGACATGATATGATGCTCTCTCAGCAAGTGTCCACAAAAGCACTTGGATTCATCTCTGATCCGGAAACAATCCCACAGATAGTGGGGGCATCGCCAGCCAATGTACAGGCCTAGGGGTGGAGGCATTGAGCAGTGAGAAAAGGTGAGGGGGAGAACAACTCTAGGTTCCTCTCAGGTGGTCCCTGAACTGTGAAGCACAGAGCTCTTGCCCCACGTTTCCTCCACAAGTCCTCGCCTCTCCCTCATGCTTTTTTAACCCCTTAAGCTTTTCTCATCACCTTCCCCCCACCCCAAGTGTCTCCAGCCCCCTTCCCTACAGGAGCCACTTCTTGTTGGTCACTGTCAGTGGTGACCAAAGATCCTGACTTTCTGAACTGAGGTACTCTAGGTGGCACTTTGGTGTAGCTGAGTTGGCTGGGACTGTGGCCTTTCTTGTCTCCCTCTCACTCAACTGTTTCCCAGCGTTTATTTCTTTGATGTGTCTGAGGGAGAGGGAAGCTGGTGGTCCAGGGGTACAGCAAATGGCGGGGCTTGGCTACTAAGCAGAGGGAATGCTGAGGGTACCTGTTGAAGAGGAGGGGGGAGGGGGCTTCTCCTCACTTGTCCACATTTCCCTCCTGTGTACCTGGTGTTCCTGAACAAATGCCCGCTGTGACCTGGCTTTTCAAGGGTCAGGAGAAAAGAGCCAGGCCAGTGGTTGTGGATAGTAAAGATCCAAAAAATGTTAAGTTGGGAGGCTAAGAAAGGAGGAGTGAAAAGGAAGGAGGGGCTAAGACACAGTCCTGGAAGCAAGCACCACCTAGAGGCCACAAAGCTCGGTCTGTCTGGTTTTCACGGCCAATTTCATCATGAGGCTATGGTGGGGCCACGTCAGTGTAGGGGAGCCTCCAACAGCCCCTCCTTCTCAGACCCCAACTCCAGCTGAGTATCCTGCGGGCATCCCTAAGGAGAGGGTGACACAGCAGCTGGTCCCACATCCAGGATCTGAGACCACCTCTTCCAGAACCTTGTATCTGATGTTCTGGGTTTTTCTTCCTGGGACCCTTCTCTAGTTCCTGTGTTCTGCCTGTAACACCACAGTTCCTTAACTCATTTGTATTCTCAGTTAGACTATGAATTCTTAAAGGGCAAGGTCTGTCTTTTCAATCGTACATCTAATCCCAACATAGGGCCTCACACAGAATAGGCACATGTAGACCGAAGCCTGCCTAAATGAATTAAGTTGAGCAGATTCCTTCAGGGGAGAAGAAAGATCCACTATTCCTGGTATATTCTGAAGTTACATAACAAACCTAGGAAAGAAAGGGAGTTGGGGGCTGGTGTGGTGGCATAGTAAGCTAATCTGCCACCTGTGACACCAATTCTAGTCTTGATTGTTTTACTTTTGATTCTGCTCCCTGCTAGTGGCCTGGGAAAGGAGCAGGGGGTGGCCCAAGTACTTGGGGTCTACATACAGGTGGGAGACGTGGAAGAAGCTCTTGGCTCCTGACTTTGGCCAGCCCAGCTTGGGCCATAGCAGTCATTTAGGGAAGTGAACCAATGGATGGAAGATCTGTCTCTCTCACTGTAATTCTGCTTTTCAAATAAAAATAATTTTCTTTAAAGGAATTGGTGTTCTGTTATCTGTGATTAGCGGACCTAACCTACCCTCCTGGGCCTCCAATGAAGCTTTCTTGTCTTACCCATCGTCTTTGTGGAGCTAAAGCGTGTTCCAATGCCTTTTGGCTCTGCTGCGTCTGGGTGCCAACAGCCTATGGTGCCGGTACCCTACCACACCGAGGGAGTTTGGTTGAGATGACAGGGTCCAGGCAGAGTCATAATGGGCTGGGCATGAGGCAGGATTCTACTAGGGGGATTCTGAGCTCTGGGGCAGTAGCAGGACACATCGGGCGGGCAGGGAAGATGCAGAGATGAGCAAGGGTCAATGTCTGCAGGGGAGGACCAGGCCTGGCCTGAAGAGCCCTCAGACTCTCTAGGCATTACAAGTGTCAGGGCCCTTTGAGTGGACCAACTGGCATCAGGCTGTGGATTCCAGCATGGGACATTCCATTCTCCACTCTTGCTCCAAACCCCCTGCCTGTTAGGAGAAAATAAGCACCAACAAGGGGAGGAGCCTTTGTCTGGGATGCCATTGTAATTCTCTAGAACTTTCCAGTGCCTTGGTCACGTGATTTCACTTGCAGAACAACCTCTCCTGTGTACAATGCCTGTGCACAGCATAGGAGTCTATAGGAAGGATACCTCCAGTCCAGTTCTCGCCCCTGAGCTGCAGACCTACATAGCCAGCTGTCTACCAGATTCTTCTGTTTTTTCTTTTTTCCTTAAAGGTTATTTATGTGGAAAAGTGACAGTGAGAGAAAGAGAGGGAGAAGGAGAGAGAAGAGAGGGAGAGGTCTTTCATCTGTTGGTTCACTCCTGAAACAGCTGCCATACCCAAGGCTGAACCAGGCTGAAGCCAGGAGCTGTGTGTCCCACCTAGGTGGCAGGGTCCCAAGTCCTCAGGCCACTTACTATCCACTGTCTCCGCAGTTGAGTTGGCAGGGAGCTGGAGCAGAAGCAGAGCATTCAGTCTGAAATCTGCCCTGCACTAACCCCTCAACAGCCAGCTCAGTGCCTGGCCATAGTTGGTGCCTGGTACTTTTTTTGTAAAATGAAGAAGTGAAAAGCATACATGCACTATTTCTTATCACACAGATCACCATGGAGCCCTGGCTCTCCAGGGAGTTAAGACGCCTCAATTTTCAAAGGGCATCCCAAATATCTGCTCAGGATTGAAAACACTGTAATTGCTGTATAAAACTGCCTGTTTAGGGCCTGGTGGCTTGGCCTAGCAGCTGGAGTCCTCACCCTGAATGTGCCTGGGATCCCATATGGGCGCCAGTTCTAATCCCAGCAGCTCCACTTCCCATTCAGCTCCCTGTTTGTGGCCTGGAAAACCAGTCAAAGACGGCTCGAAGCCTTAGGACCCTGCACCTGCATGAGAGACCTGGAGGAGGTTCCTGGCTCCCGGTTCCTGGCTCCCGGCTCCTGGCTCCTGGTTTGGGATCAGCGCAGCACCAGCCATTGTGGTCACTTAGGGAGTGAATCATCAGATGGAAGATCTTCCTCTCTGTCTCTCCTCCTCTATATATATCTGACTTTCCAATAAAAATAAATAAATATTTTTTTAAAAAACTGCCTGTTTAAACAGGAAGAAAAAGAAATTCAATGTGAAGAAAAGGAAATGTAGAGGCCTTGAAAGGTGGGGAGTAGATGGATTTCAAGAAAGGGAATGAGGAACTCAAGAGATACTAAGTTTGCAAGAAAATGAATCAGAGAAATGGAAGATGTGAAAATAAGCAAAAGTCACCTTATTGAAAATTGAGTTCTTTGTGACTTTCTTGACCAGAGGTATATGGGGAAGGTCCCTGGCACAGGGAAGGAGGAAGGGATAAGGGTTTGCAATGATTGGGTTGTGTTTACAGCATAGACTTTTTGACATACTCTATTCTCATCTTAAGGGGAAAGGTGATATGAAAGAGCAAAAAAAAAAGAATGCGGTGCTACCTGTGGAATTCAGTCTAAAAACTTCCCCCAGACTTCTCATGTCTCTCCTCTAGGGTGAGGAGACCCATACTTTATGGGTACTCAGATAATCATGGACCTGGTATGCAGAGGTGACAGCCTTATAACATCGTTATTTATTTTCATTTATGAGACACACAGAGAAAGGCATCTCCTGTCTGTTGGTTCACTCCCCAAAATGTCTGCAACAGCTGGGCTGAGCTGGGCTAAAGCCAGAGCCAGAAACTCCTACCTGGGTCTCTCAAATAGGTTGGGGAAGGGGAGTAGGAGCCCAAGCACTTGAACCATAATCTGCTGTCCCCCAGGACATGTCCTGGGCCATGTCTGGTACAGGCATCTAGTGCCAATCTGTGGCCCTTTTACTTTATATATATATATTACAATTCTTGTTCAGCTGCTTGTCCTTACCTGGGTTGTTTATGAATAGCCCCACTGTGGTAATTCCTGCCCACCTGTCTATAGTCCTTCCAGATTCTAGGCAGTTGGCACAGCTGCTTCCACAGGCTCCCCAGATCCTGTGGGATTACAGGATGACTGTGGACCTGTTACAGGTCTCAGGAAGGCTCCCTGGGCTCACCTGACTGGATGGCATTCAGGGCTGTATTCTTCTCCCATTGGAAAATATAATTCACCTGAGTACCACATTGCTCTCTTTGCATTGTGTTAGCTGCTTCCACCAACTCTGCCTGATTAGCAGGGTCCACAGAGTGGCCTGTGTGACATGGGAAGGAAGGGACTGAGTAACCAGGAGGAAGCGAGAAGACTCTAAAGCTAAGAGAAGGGACCATGTTGCATAGTAACTCAGCCCCCCCCTTCTGGTAAAGATCAAGGACAGTGGACAGTGAGGAGAACAGAGGAAAGGGCAGGGACAATTACAGACAATGTCTCTCCTGGCCTTCTTCTTGCCCAGCTGATGTTCAGGCTGGCCTGGGTGAACAGTGATGTCACTGGTGTCCACTTCCTCCTCCTCTTCTGCATCTTCCTCTTCCCTCAGCTTGGCAGATATGTCCACAGAGAAATGGGCTGAAGGGCCCAGAAGGGAGTGTTCTGGAAGGTATTCGACTTCAGGGCCCTGGGTGGCCCTCCTTGTGTATGAGCTCTCGCTGGAAGAAGGCTCAGAGAGGTCTTCCTTCAAAACACCAGAGGAAGACCCAGAGGCAAGACTTAAGGATGAAGGCTGAAAGGAAAGGTGTTTCTCTGGGACTTCAGAGCTCTGAGTCCCTAGGAGGATCTCAGAAGTAGGGGTCTTCAAAGGGGTCTCAGAGTCATCCTGCTGTAGAGAGATGGTGGGCTCCAAGGGAGACCCAGAAGCATGGGATTCCAAGGGGCTCTGGGAAGTGGGTGGTATGGGAGGGGTCTCAGAGACATCCTGTTGTAAAGAGATGTGAGAGGTGGTGGGCTCCAAGGGAGACCCAGAAGCATGGGGTTCCAAGGGGCTCTGCAAAGTGGGTGGTATGGGAGGGGTCTCAGAGACATCCTGTTGTAAAGAGATGTGAGAGGTGGTGGGCTCCAAGGGAAACCCAGAAGAATGGGGTTCCAAGGGGCTCTGCGAAGTGGGTGGTATGGAAGAGGTTTCAGAGATGCCCTGTTGCAGAGAGATGTGAGAGGTGGTGGGCTCCAAGGGGCTCTGGGAAGTAGGTGGTATGGGAGGGGTCTCAGAGACATCCTGTTGTAAAGAGATATGAGAGGTGGTGGGCTCCAAGGGAGACCCAGAAGCATGAGGTTTCAAAGGGCTCTGGGAAGTGAGTGGTAAGGGAGGGGTCTCAGACTGTTCTAAAGAGATGTGAGAGGTGATGGGCTCCAAGGGAGACTCTGAAGCATGGGCCTCCAAGGGGCTCTGGGAAGTAGATGGAACCAAAGGGGTCTCAGAGAGGTGTGGCTCTAAAGGGATCTGGGAAGCGGATGCCATAGTAATGTCCTGAGAGGCCTGAGGCTCTACAGTGGCCTCAGAGATAGAAGGTTCCAAGGGGGACTCCTGCAAGTCTTCCATAGAAGGGTCTTTTGAAGAGGGGTGCTGTTCTGCATCCATGGTGGTGTCAAGCTCTTCTGTGGCCTCATCTGCTTCCATCTAGTGGTAGAATAGGGTACAGGCTTCATTAGGTTGGGACTCAAGGGTCTTCAATTTTGGGTAGGGGGGGGAGGGAGGAATCACAGGAGGGTATGGGATTAGCATAACGCTCTCAGTGCACCTGAGATAGAAGAGGGAAGCAAGATGAGCTCTGGGTCTCAGGATGGGATGCTAGATGGTTCGCCCACGTGCCCAGACCTCATGGGCATGCTACTGTGAGCCATTAATCGGCTGGGACATAAAGGCTGATGAGAGGAGTGAGGGGGACAGCATGATGGCATATCAGGCTGAGCCTCTGCTGATGGTGCTGGCATCTCATATGAGCATCCATTTGAGTCCCAGCTGTTACTTCTGATCCAGCTCCCTGCTTAGAGCCTGAGAAAGCAGCAAAGAATGGCTGAAGTCTTTAGGGTCCTGTACCCATGTGGGAGACCTGGAAGAGGCTCCAGGCCCCTGGCTTCAGATCAGCCCAACTCTGGCTATCATGCCCATTTGGGAATTAAACCAGTAGATGGAAGATATGTCTTTCCTTTTCTTTCTGTAACTGACTTTCTAATAAAAATAAACTAAGTCTTGGGCCTGGCACAATGGCTTAGAGGCTAAATTCTTGCCTTACACACACTGAGGTCCCCTGTGGGTGATGGTTTATATTCTGGCTGCTCCATTTTCCATCTGGCCCCTGGTAATATGCCTGGGAAAGCAGTGGAGGATAGCCCAAAGCCTTGGGACCCTTTGCCCGTATCGGAGTCCTGAAAGAAGGTCCTGGCTCCTGGCTCCCGACTTTGGATCAGCTCAGCTCTGCTGCTGTGGCCACTTGGGGAGTGAACCAGTGGATGGAAGATTTTTTTGAACCTCCTCTTCTCTATAAATCTGCCTTTCCAATAAAAACAAACAAATATTTTTAAAAAGCTGAAGTAGTCAGAATTCCTGTTCTCCAGGAGGAAGTCAGAACACAACCCCTGGGGTAGTCCAAGAGAAGGGGCCTAGGGCATGTCCTCCTTGGACCCAGCAGACAAGGTTCCAAGGGGTTCCAGAGACTGGAACTGTCAAGTGAGTGTCGTGGTTGGTCCTGTGAGCACCACAGACTACCATTATGCATCAGCAGGACCATGGTCATAGTCTGGGGATCCTATTCTCTCCCTCCTTGATTATATCATTCATGTTCAGGACTCCAGCAGGGTGCTGCTGACTTTCCAGCCCACATTCCCAGCCCAGACCTCTTTTCAGACTCCTGCATTTTCACCCCCATAGCTTGCTGCCTATTGGACATTTCCAACTGGATGCTCTACATATGTCCAGTGGGGCTCTGGGAATCAGCCCAGTCTTCCTCTTTCCCCTTAGTGCTCACCTTCAAATAGCACTAAGAGCTGTGTTACTTGTCTTCTACACGTTCCCTGGATGCCTCCTCTCCTCCCTGTCCCTTCCACCCCTGCTCTTGCTATCATCATCATCTGCCTGGATCGTGGACTCACTGTGCCTCTCCATTGCCATCCCCAGCACAGCCCTCCGCTTGGCAGTTCTTTCTGTTCTTTATACAAAGAGCCTGATCCTATACTTCTACTCAGGCACCATACTAAGTGCTGGACTCGGCTGAGTCTGGGAGAGAGACAGGTTCACCAGCACCACTCATACAAATGGGTTGAGTCCAGGTGCTATGGGGAGGAAATAGGCCTAATTTATCCTCAAAGGATGTCTAAAAGAGACAGTCCTCCTTTCTGATCCAACCAGAATCTTTTAAAATGTGCAAGCTAAGGGACCAGCACAATGACTCAATAGTCTAATCCTGCACCTCCAAGTGCCAGTATCTCATATGGGCACCAGTTCGTTTTCCAGCTATTCTGCTTCTGATCCAATTCCCTGCTTGTGGCCTGGGAAAGCAGTAGAGAATGGCTCAAAGCCTTGGGACCCTGCACCCATGTGGGAAACCTGGAAGAAGTTCCTGGCCCCTGGCTTTAGATCAGCTCAGATCAGATCAGCTCCAGCTGTTGTAGCCATTTGGGGAGTGAACCAGTGTATGGAAGATCTTTCTCTGTATCTCCTTCTCTCTGTAAATTTGCTTTTCTAATAAAAATAAATCTTAAGGGCATGGTGCGGTAGCGTAGTGGTTAAAGTCCTCGCCTTGCATGCCTGGGATCCCATATGGGTGCCAGTTCTAGTCTTGGCATCCCTGCTTCCCATCCAGCTTCCTGCTTGTGGCCTGGGAAACCAGTCAAGGACATCCCGTGTGAGAGACCTGGAGGAAGTTCCTGGCTCCTGGCTCCTGGCTCCTGGCTCCTGGCTTCGGATCGGTGCAGCACTGGTCGTTGCGGTCATTTGGGGAGTGAATCATCGGATGGGAGATGTTTCCTCTCTGTCTTTCCTCCTCTATGTATGTCTGACTTTCCAATAAAAAAAGTAAATCTTTAAAAAAAAAAATACAAACCCAGCCCTGGTATTCTCCTTGCTTAAAAACTTTTCATTACCTCAGCCTAAAGGGTTAAGTCCAAATTTCTTGGCCCTGATATTCAAGGCAACACTACCTGAGAACCCCAGCTTTAACTTTCTCTGCTCCCCACTTTCCTATGCTTCTGACACCAGATCTGTCACTCTTCAGATCCCTTGTGGATGGGAAGTTTGGGAAGGATGGTGGGGGAGAAGATAACCAGAGTTAACTTGGAGGGAAAAGATTTCAGAGAATGTAGAATCTGAGGATGGGAAGAGAAGAGGTGGTGGGAAGGAGATGGGGTAGCAGACATGCCCAAGGACGGACAGAAGATGTTGGGGGGTGGTCAGTGGAGAAGCTACCTACCTCTGGGCTTCCGCTTGGTTGTTGCTAGTCTTTGGGTCACGATCTTGCCTACTGATGGGATGTGCCGAGGGATTGGGAGGTTCGGCTGCGGAGGAGCCAGGCCTGCAGGTGCTGAGTGGTGACCGGTCTGGCCTGAAAGTCACTTTGGGAAGGGGATCTGGTCATCTGCGGGACTTCCGCAAAGGAGCTCCCGCTGAATCAACCTGGGGGGAGGGGAGGGAGGGGGAGGAATAATAAGCGATCTAGGGTCGAAGAGGGGGAGGGGCTTGACTGCAGCCTTTGGAACCCCAGACTGGAAGGAGGGGAAACCGCCACCAGGGTGACCAGAATGCCCAGTGGTCTCTATGGCAACGATAGTCGGGTCACTTTCTCGGTGGGTGAGGCCTGCTGAGGGAGCTGCCTTGGGCCTGGAGGGGGCGAACCTAGCACGGTCACTTCAGAAAACGGGGGTGGGGGAAAGGTGTGTTGTGGGATCTCTCTAAGCGAATCTCTGGGGTTGGGTCTGAGAAAATCTGGGGCTACGTCTGTGGGGAGTCTGGGTTTGAGAAGGTTTCTGTAAGCTTCGCGTGAACCCCCTGTGGAGAGGTCAGCGGAGGGTTCTGAGGATCTGAGGGGGGTTACCGGAACTCTGTTTGGGGTGAGAACAACAGGGTCCCAGGTAGCTTGGGACTGGGGCGGAGTCTGTCCGCGAAACCCCGCGGGGCTGAGAGACCAATAAAAATAGGTCAGGGGGCGGGCGTTACTGATAGGGACCAATGGAACTGGCCGAGGGCGGAGCGTCGCACCGACGTCAGGCCCAGGCCGCCGCCGCGGGGCCTGGTTATTACCGGTTCCGCGCAGCCCGAAGTCGTCCAGGCCTGAATTCCCACCCGCGTCCCGAACCCCCGGCCCGGGCCCGCGAGGACACCGGAGGCCTCCCCGCAGGGGTGGGGAGCGGAGCCGCGGGTCAGCTCTGCTGACGTCCCGCGCTGGCCTGGCCGGCCCCGCCCCCGCCCCGGGCCATGGCCCAGCCCTTGTCTCGGCCTCTTGTCCTATCCCAATCTTGGCCTTGGCCTCCGGCCCCGCCTTCGACCCGCGTCCCCAAACGGTCCCAGCCCTGGCCGGCATCCCAGCGAATGCCAGGGTCCAGGTTCCAACCCAGACCACCCCTCCAGCCCCAGTGCCTGCCCCTGGCCTTTCCCTCACCTCTCCCTCGGCCCGCGTTCCACCCCCTGGCGCAGATCCCAGCCCAGCTCCTCTCCCAGCCCTGTAGCCAGTGTGTACTTAAGCCCCTGGCCCAACCCCAGCCCTTGCTGCCGTCTCCAGCACAACCTTGTCTTCCATCCCACTCCCTGCCCTTGTGCAAGCCCCAGTATGCAGCCCAGCCCAACCCGCTGTCCCGGAGGCTGCCCTCATCTCTGTGTGTCACCGAGTCTTTCCCACCGGGTCCCCCTCGCTCTCATACTCTTCCCCTCTCCCAGCCTCGACTCAGGTCTGGGCTCCAGCTGCCACCAGCCCTATTGCTGCTGTTGCTGTTCTCTGTCCTTGGTCCCGGGGCCGGTGAGTTGCAGAAGCAGGAAAGATGGCAAGCGGGGATGTGGGGGTCAAACTGAGTGAGTGGGCTGGAGAGGTTTGGAGGCAGGGGAGCTGGGAACTAGATTACTGGGGTGAAGGAGTGGGGATCAGAAGTCTTGGGTTTGAGGCTCAGCAGGTATCGCATAGTCCCCAGGAAAGAGATTTGTACGGTTTCTTTCCTGGTGTCCCCTGCTTTCTCAGGGAAAGTCTTCAGAGCCTCACTTCTTGTTCTCAAAAAATATAGTCAAAATCTGTGAGATCCTGAGCATGTGTTTCAAACTGTGAGTTCAGAAAAGGATTTCATACATAACAGGAAACACAACTGGATGTGTTTTTGTTGCCATTTGCAATGAGTTTTCTCCTAGTGACTCTGGTTTCAAAGTACCTTGAACTGCCCAGGGGTAATTCTTGACAAGTGTTATAGCCAGGGTGGGAACTCGGAGATCACGTCACAGATGGGGAAAATGAAAGGCTCGGCAGGGCAGCAGTTTGTTTGCAACATGTGAGTGGCATTACCGGGCTAGAAAAGGGGTTGTCTGTGTTTGTGTTCCCACTGCGGTCTGCATCCCAATAGTGAAACAGACCCAAGTGGAGAAGTGTGTAGAGCACAGCCTTTCTTCTCCCGGTCTGCCCACAAGGGGGCTTCATTCACAAATTG